AGAGAGAGAGAGAGAGAGAGAGAGAGAGAGAGAGAGAGAGAGAGAGAATGCTTAGCAGCAATCTTCCTCCCATAAAGCCATTGCCAGATGGTACTGGGGCAGCTGCCACAGTTTGTAGGATCACATAAATCAATGGATCTTAGATTACACAACATCATGTCAGTTCTGTTTCTTAGCAGGTGGCATATGTCATTCAGTTTTTCAAGGAAGAGAGAATCTCAGCCTTTCACTACTGACATGAGAGCTACACCCAGACTGACTGCTACTTAAATTTGTGTAAACAACAGTTGATAAATGATATGTGAGGCCTCTTCATGAGACACTAGCTTCAGGCAGAGCTTTCAGATGTACATTTCTTGGTTTATTGATTAATTTAGCCCTCCTAAAAAATGTTCACCTCAACCAAGATTCATAACCACACAATCTTAGCTCTTATCTGACATCACTATTAGAAAATATTATTTTATAAACTACATTTATTTATTATCCTTAAATAAAGTTCCTTTTTCCCCCTTGAGAAGCAATCCATACTCACTGTATATAAACTGGGAAGTACACATAAGAAAAGAAAGAACATTTTTGGATAGCTTCAGCCTCCAAACATGGTTTATTTCCAATCTGTCTTTCTTTGTTTTGTGAAATTCATTGTAGAACCTATCACAATAAACAATGTACAAAGTGTATTTTTCCCCTGGAAAATAGATACTAAGAAATTGCTATGCTATTTTATGTTCTTATTGTATCTTTCATCAGCCCCTACTTTGTAAGGAACCCCCTTAATGTTCTTTTTTACTCTTTGGTGGAGCTCAGAGAATTGTGTGTTTGGTTACAGTAATGCTCTTTTCCTCTGTTACTTTGTCTTCCTCTCTTTCTATGTGATCACTGGTCTTTCTTCTATCTTTATTTTAACTATCCTGAGTACTAAATATATTTTTAAAGAAAACTTTTATTTTATTATGTGATGTGATGTGATGTGATGTGTGCGTGCATGCGTGCCTGTGTGTGTGTGTGTGTGTATGAATACAGGTTTCTATTGGGGCTAGAAGAGGGTGTTGGAGCCTCTGGTGGTTTGGATGAGACTAATTAGTTTCCCAGAATTCTGTGTTTACATGCTTACTCCCTAGTTGATGAGCTGTCATGGAAGGATTAGGAAGCCTGGCCTTGTTGAAGAACATGTGTCACTACATGTTGGCTTTGAGGTTTCAAGACCACATCAGTCCCAGGCTTCTCCCTCCCTCTCTCTCTCTCTCTCCCTCTCTCTCTCTCTCTCTCTCTCTCTCTCTCTCTCTCTCTCTCTCTCTGTCTCCTGCTAATGGGTCATAATGTAAAGGTCTCAGCTACTTCTCCAGGGCCATGTCTACCTCTACACCATATGTACACTCCCATCCATAATGGTAATGGACTAACCCACTAGAACTACAAACAAGCTTCCAATTCAGTGTGGTCTTTTATAAAAGCTGCCTTGCTCATAGTGTCTCTTCAAGCCCCCTGAGTATAGAGGTGGTAAGGTGAGGTCTGGCCACCTTGGAAGATGCAGCAAGTGGTCAGAGAAGGGTGATGCGAATATGAAGTTTAAATGTGAAATTTCATTCATAGGTTCATATATTTGAACCTAAGGGTTATGGAACCCTTAGGGTGTGGGACGTTGTTGGAAGAAATGAATCCTTGGCCAGAGGCTTTGAGGTTTATTAGCTGTGTGGTGGTTTAAATATGTATGGCCCCAATAGGTTCTTGTGTTTGAATGCTTGGCCCATAGGGAGTGGCACTTTAGGAGGTGTGATCTTGTTGGAGTTAGTGTGGCCTTTTTGGAGGAACTGTGTCACTGTAGAGTCAGGTTTTAAGGATATATATGCTCAGGCTATGCTCAGTCACACAGTCCTATAGGCTTAGATTTTTCAAAACCGACTTTAATTATGGTTCTTTAGTGTTTCAACCTCCCCTCTAGCCTACCACCCACCAGAGGTAGAGGAAAAGAAAGATTAATGGGAAATGGGGGTTGTGGACCTGTGTAGGTATAGTTTTTTGGAGTGATTCCAATCTTCATTGTCAGCAGTCCAGTCTAGTCTGGAAACACCAAACACAAATCAGTAGCAGCGGCTTAATCCAGAAGAAACTGTGAGGCTCTGCAGACAGGCAAGAGTCCACAGAAGTGGCAAGATGCAGCAGAAATACCACCAGAAGTTCTTTGGTGCATTTCTCTCAACGAAGTCAGGACAAGTGAAGATCAGTGAAGAAAGCAAGGTGAACCAATGCAAGAGTGTTGTCAGTTTAGACCAGTGTCAGCAAAGGCCAACGAAGACCAGCAAAGAGTTGCAAGGCAAACCAATGCAAGAGACTCATCCACTGTCTGTTGGGTTATACTTATAATCTTCCCAAATAGCACATGTCTTCTCAAAGTATGTTCCAGCAAAATATCACATGCCCTTTCACCAGGTAGCTTACAGAAAAACACCATGTGTCTGTTCTCAGCAAAATATTCTCTCATAAGACAGTTTCCAGAAAAGCATCACATGACACAACCGAGTCTCCAAGGCATCCAGAAATTCCCACTTCACAATCTACTTATGCTGCCTGCAAATCAGGATGTAGAACTCTTAGCTCCTTCTCTAGCACCATGTTTGCCGGGATGCTGCCAAACTAATAGGCTGATACTACTTGCCTCTACCCCTGGCAGCCCTCTCCCATGATTCCTGAGTATGGATGCAATATGATCAGCTAGCTTCCGGCTCCTTCTTGCCGTATCTTTACCGCCTATTGCCTTGCCTTTCCTACCATGATAGACTCTATACCTTTAGAACTGTAAACCATGATACACCCTTTCCTTCTTTAGCTAATTTTTGTCAGTGTATTATTTATCACAGACACGGGTGGGGAAGCTCTTATAGAAGGTTACAGATGATAAAGCCTGATGGGAGAAATTAATTGAAATAAGAAAAGGAAAATTTTATGAGTTCAGAAAGCAGAGGGAATTAAGATTTAGTGTGAGCCATGGACTCTTCAGGATTGTCGCATGTGAGGACATTTGGAGCAAAGCTGTCTCGATGCTGTGGACCTGCAACTGGCTGAACCAAGAGGACAGGCTGTATCTCACGATTGTGATGGAGAACTGAAGAAGAAAACTGCAATGTGATTTTGACAAGAACAGATTTGGTGTAAAACATTGGAAGATCTGAGAAAATACAGGGAGTTGCTAATAACAGGGACGATATCTAATAGTAATAAAAGTGATATTGTTTTATAGTCTGTCTGTTGGTTTGGGGTGGAAGTCATCCTTTTCCATGGCAGGCGCTGGGTTTTTCCTACTACTACCTACCCTGGTAAGATGTCTTGGTTTAGAGCTAAGAGGCCACAAGGCTAGAGTACTATGGTAGAGAGTCCATGCTGAAGAGCTTGGCTGTCAGATGGACTTGGACTAACTCAAGAACTTCCCATTAGCAGCCGAATGACCTCCCTGAGACACTCCCCTGTGAAACCAACACAATAACTATGTCTTCCTTGGCTCACTTGTTTGAGGAGGTAGATGTGGATGACCAGATTAAAAGGCACCAATAAAAGGCACTCTGCCAATGCCAGGAAGAGCTTTCCTTAGAAGGCAAAATTTGGCTGTTCCATGTCTGAACACTGTAGCTGTCATATATATGACCCGATTCTACTAGCTCCAGAAAATATTACAGACACTTGAAAAGCTGTGTGAACATATGGTGACAGTGTGAGCCGTGGGTGGATTGTGCTTATGACAGGAGAAATCCCAGGCAGAAATAGATGTTAAAAACAAATAGATAACTCTTCAAGAAACCTTCTGTCAGCCCTGCCTGGGGTCACATCGTACTCCAAACACTGAAGTACAATGGAGTCACATAATGGTTCATATGTTAGATACCTTTCTGTCAGCAAAAGGAGGGAAAGATGGTTAAAGATTAGACATGGCAGCAAAAGCTGGAGAGATGCCTCAGCAGTTAAGAATGTGTATTGCTATCATAGAGCATCCAAGTTCAGTTCTCAGTAATCCCTGTTGGGAGGCTCGGAGGTAACTGTTAAATTCAGGATCCAACACCTCTGACCTCT